ATATATATATATATAAATAATTAAATGACAATAAAAGGAAATATAGGGAAGCAAAACAAAACTTTTAAAAATCATAAAACAATTATTATAGACATTACATATATTATTATAAATTTTATTTTTTTTTAAACACAGACAAGAGCCCAAAATTATAATAATACATGAAACAATATTTGGTACATTATACAATAATTTATATTACATATAAAGGATAATAAAAGAATAACAACATAATTTAAAAAAAAATAAAAATGTGAAGTGTACATACATTTCCATTACTGCTAGAATCTAAAAAAGAAAACAAAATATATAATATATTAGTACATATTATTATATATTGTGTGTACAATCAAAATAAACAAAATAAATAAAAAATATTTTAAAAACTTGCCCATGCTAAAAAAACGTCTAAACAAAATAAAACAATTATTAAGAAAGGTTAGGTTAGATGAAAAAACTGAAAAAAATCGTTTCCAAATTATTATCAATCTACTGAACACGGTTTGCTAACAGTTGATAAGGTTAATGATAATAATATTGATGCATATATTGCGATAGTGGAGGGGGCTGGTTAAATGAGCCGACCATGACACGTTTTCAAATTACGCGGCTAGGACAGATTTCCCGATTTTGATAACAGCGAGATATCAACAAAATCAAATTTCGGGAGATCGGTTATCCAACATTAGAAAAAAAAATTTCTCGTATATAATAAAATGAAAATAAATTTTTTTTTACCTAGCTGTCGTTGCCAACATGAAAATACGAAAGTCCTAATTTAAAATATCTAAAAATCTAACAACCGCTTATCAATTATAACTAATAGTTATCAAAACTAACTAAAATAAAAATTGAAAATTGAATAATTTTGATTATTGATAACAATATAGAAATTAATTAAATTATAATTATTGCAGTATGTATTCATGTATTCATTACAACTTAAAATTTGATCATGTTAAAGCCATAAAAGAAATCATTATTGTATTTACCACGCATAGTATAATACGTAAATACTAAATACGATACAACTATGAAAAATACAGTTTGCCACAGTATTAAATTAAATAAATAGTAATAAATGTTAAACTTATTTTATGTATCATTCTTTACTTAAAGTTCCAACTAACATGCGCATTATATTTGTTACATCATGTAAGTAGGTAGGTACCGATATCAATAAATTGTTGGTACTCGAATAGAACTTCAGTATGTATGTACTTCACTATAGACTATATCTTCTATCTATACTTATCCTTGTGACCTTGTACAAAAACTTTTTAAAAGCTTTCAAGTCAGACGCATAGGCGTGCTCACAAAGACAGAAGTGTGGGCTATCTCTGCCTGTGGCCTATTCTGACATATTCAAGGACTGGTCGAACCATAAATCATAATACTGACTAGTAACTACACTGCAGAAAGGATATAAATATGTAACAATTTTTACAATCTGTAGTTGAGAACGAAGGAACTTTTTCTATACAAATATAGTTTTCAATAGGTATATTACAAATTTGAAGAATTAAAACGGAAACTCAAATTCTTCAATATAAATTCTATCTTTACAAAATCTTCAAAGATCGTAGCCGAAGGGCCTCTTGATCAAT